AAAAAGAAAGATATACGATGCGTATAGCCCTCTCACTGCATCAATATCGATAATTAATTTACTAATACGACGGGGGCAAGGGAGTCAAAGATATGATATTACTTGTTAGATTTGGTAGAGTGCAAAAGGTATTGAAAATTTGTTATGATTTTTTTGTTTTGTTTATGGTTTTAATAGAAGGTATAAACAAAATTTTGTTTATGGTTTTAATAGAAGGTATATACAATAATTTCTTTGTACTTCATAATTAGTTTTTGGTTTTTTAACAAAAAAATTTGTTTATCATTGTCTCTTTGTAATTACGAAAAGATATCAAACCTTTAGGCTATAATCATTTCAAATCGGGGACCATACTATCCAGTATCGAAACCCGAATTCGTAATTATGTAACACATTCATTTTAAAAGGTTCATACTACACTAGAAATGCGTTTTCTTAAAAAAAAAAAGATTATAACCATAAAACTTTATATTTTTGGCCTATACTTTTTTAGTCCGGACATCTGATTAGTTAAGGGAAATTAGCAGGGATAACAAGCAAAAATTTTATAATTTGCCGATGACCATTAGCACTCTACGGTTAGAATATGTGGTGCATAACATCAACATGTAATATTGATGAAATCGCCCTTGTCCGTACTGCCCAAGACATAAGAGAAACTTTGTATACGAGTTTACACAAAACTGTAAACAAAAAACTGTCAGGATAATTTCGAGATTAATACTCTGAATCCCGTTAAGAATTTGGAAAACTTTACCCTTGGATTATTGCTATTAACTTCAAATCTTTATCATTCTATCAGCCTCTGAAAAGTTACTGCCACACTGCCTTCAAGGGTTACCTCTACTTTTTACCTTAACTAGCTTCGTCTCCTCTCCACACAATTTTAGGAGGAATTCAATTATTTATTAATTTAATCAATGGAGGTTAAGTTATGTTTGGGAAGAAAGCTGAAGGAGAAGGCGCACGTATCCTTTTCTCTGCCTTACAATGACGTCACATAAGGGTTGCTCTCAGTTATAGTAAAATCGGCTTCAGAAGCCCACATAGTTACTTGCTTCAATAGCTAAATTGTATGGCTACTTTCTTTATTTTCAAATCTAATATGAATATTGGGCTAATTCACCTTTTAGTTAATTGATGCTAATTAAAACTTAGATCGAAAATATGTATATACCAGATCAAATTTTGTTCTTTGAAGAAACACATATATGTACTTATGAAGTACTTGGAGATCACATATAGAATTTTATTTTTGTTTTATAAGAAAGGTTATTTTGTATTTTCAATTTTAAAAAAAAAATAGTTTTGATCCTACTGTTTTAGTGTACTAGTTAACAAAAAATA